CTCCCAACATAGGCGGACACCGGAACTGGTTCTGTAGAAAGGCGCTACTTCGCTGCTGGGGAGGGCCGAGCAGAGGGGCGGGGGGGGGCGAGTATTCGCGGTGTTGAGGCGCCTGCTGGTGCTGGGTAGGTTGGAGTTCCCCGAACTACCCACTCTGGTAGGCGCATACGGCATCAACGAGTACATGTACTACACTGGAAAGCTTCCTTCGCGTACGGGACTGCCTGAGCTACAGGGGTACCTCGCTCATGAGAACGACCCCCCCCTAGGACAACCTTAGGGCCCTAGGCATAGGGCTACTGCAGGGTCCTAGGAGAGGGTGGTTTCTTATGATCGAGGTACCCCTGTGCAGGGTTACATCGCGCATAAGGAGGCGCACCCCCCTACATGTACAGGGATTACTCGCGAATGAGGGCACGCACCGCCCGTATGGTGGTCCTAGGCCCAAAGGCATAGGCATATTGTAGGCTCCTATGGCGTGGACCTTCTTTTCGAGTAACCCCTGCACACAAAAAATGTACGCCTAGGTTGCACTCAAGAGATTCGGCCAGATGAGGTGAAGCTGGGACCACCTTGCGGGTCTACCCCTGTTTCGGTCCTGCCGTGTTCTTCCGCAGAGAGAACTCTGTGTGCGGCTAGGCTCGGAATCAGGAAAATCCAAGGACCTGAGGCCTGGTGGTGCCGCAGAACTCGGAAAGGGGGGAAGCACCGTTTACTGAAAGCAAAAGCACGACCGCGGAAACATCAGGGTCAGTGAACGGAGAGTCGCTCTTCTTGAAACCACTGTACTGTTGCACAGCGTTGTCGTGGCTGTCAACAGAGACCTCTGCTCGCCGGGCCCTTCACACTTGCTCCTCCTCCCCATCGGAAGACGGGTTTTGAAACCCCTCCCGCCCCTAGGGCCCTACCGTAGGCCTATGCCTTTGTACAGGACTACCTGAGCCTCGCTATAGATCATGGCAGGTGCCCCTAAATGCCATAGTCCCCATTGTTTAGTCCCCCAGCTGCCCACCCCGCCAACCCCCACGGGTGCAACCCCATCCCCCCATATCCCGAGCCTTTCCACCCCGCCAACCCCGGGAAGAAAACCTCCTCCATCTCGCCGATGGAGGAGTAAAGAGAATCTTGTGAAGAAGCATGCTCCTCGAACTCCCCACCAGGCAAATCCTCCAGCACCAGCTCCAGCACCATCTTGACCACCCCCGCCTCGAGCCCGAGCACCAGCGAGCCCCCCCCAGCCGCTCGTGGTGGCCCATCGCAAACGCCATACTCCTGGCCCTGCTCGCCGCAAGCAGCATTCTTGTGAATGTAGGACAAACCCTGCGTTTCTTTTTAAGGGACAGGCACATTGCCTGTCGATTAGTTGCAGCGCCAAATCTGTGGTGTTTGTGCGAGTGTGAATCTACTTGCTCAAACGTCCGATGAGGATACCCTAACTCAAACGCCCGATGAGGATACCCTTTAGCCGGTTTCTGCCGCGATCCTCTGTACAGGGGGGCTTGATGTGATCCGAAAGAAAGCATGGTCTTTCTACAGAACCAGTTCCGGTGTCCGCCTATGTTGGGAGCTCGGAGAACCTAAAGGATCTAAAGGATATTAACCAAAGGACCTAAAGGAACGCACTGGAGAGCTAAACGCGATCTGAAAGCAAAAATGCTTTCTCTGCAGTCCTTTCTACGGAAGGGCGTGTCGGTGAGCCATGTTGGGAGTATTTAAAACCTGAAGGACCTAAAGGACAACAATACCACATTTATTTCCTTTCCTCCTTGGCGTCCGACTGTTTTCACATCACCCCCCCACACGACCCCCCTCACCTTGTGGGGTATCCGTGGTTGGAGTTTTTATACTTGAACCATGGGATACTATGAGCCTCGTAAAGGCTGACTTGGGTTCGGTGTGTGGGCGAGCGCGATCCTCTGGATCAACTCAAGCACCGCAAGAAAACCAAAGAATTGCCCCCCCCCAAGTCAAAGAAGGAGGGGCTTCGGATGGGGTAGGATCCTAATAACCCCCCCCCCCCCCTGTACTCGTACCGGTAGGTCCTACGAGGAGGTACAAGGGTGGCCACCGAACCCCGAAACCCGAACTCTGAAACCCGAAACCCGACCCCCATGCTAAGCCCTCAACCCTCAACCCTCAACCACAACTCCTCAACCTTGAGCCCTAACTCCTCAACCTTGAAACCTAGATCCTAAAACCCAAACCCTACGCTTTGTTCGTAGGATCCTAGAGCTGTCAGTGTCAAAAAGTGTTCGGAGCCCTGGGGGGCATTTTGTTATGTCATAGAAGGAGGGGCTTTGAGGGGTACGAGCCTGTACGAGGATCCTATTCCCCAAGTACAAGCTCGTAGAGGGTACCAGGGTCTCTTGTTCGAGTTGTCATGAAACAAAACGGAAACAGCGTCGATTTGACGAAACCCCAAACAAAAAAAACAATCAAATCTGCCGCGATCACACGTTAGGTGGCGCGAGGAGGGGCGAATTTTGCCAAAAGAAAGCACCCTGAATGTTGCGGTAGACGGGATTCGAACCCGCGCCTCCGAAGAGATCGCGGCCTTAATGCGACGCCTCAGACCAACTAAAAAAATACTGAATTTCAAAATCCCAAAATTCGAAATCCACAAATTCACATTCCCACAAAATTCGAAATACCCAAATTCAAAATACCCAAATTCAAAAATCCGGCCAAAATCCGGCCAAAATCCGGCCAAAATCCGGCCAAAATCCGGCCAACCAAAATTATACCAAAATTCAAAAAATCGAAATCACCCTACACCCGACCTCCTACACCCGACTCCGTTCACCCTACACCCTGCCCCCTCCCTACGCCCTGCAGGGGTACCTTTCTCTTACTAAATTGACCCCTCCGTAGGACCCTACTGCCCCCCCTAGGACCACCGTAGGGCCCTAGGCATAGGCCTACTGTAGGGTCCTAGGGGGTGGCGCTTTCCTGTGAGCGAGGTACCCCTGTACCCCCTTCACCCTACACCCTATACCCCCCACCCCACCCCCCACTCCCGTCACCCTATCCCCTGCACTCTACTGGTCTCTCTTCTCCCTGCACCCTGCACCTCTACACCCCACACCCTGCACCTCCCACCATACACCCCACTCCCTACACCCTACACCCTTTTCTCGATCTCCCTAACCCCTTCCGTTTTGAACCCCGGGTTTGTTAGAACGCACTGCCATGTAGTTTTGACGCACCGCACGCCCGCACGCACACGATTGACCTCTCTCTCTCTATGAGGTGGTACCCCATTCACGGACACTATCCGCGAAAATTCGCACCACGGATGTTGAAGTCCGCCAACTAAAATTCTACCAAAATTCAAAACTCGAAATCCAAAAATCCGGCCCAAAATCCGGCAAAAATCCGGCCAACCAAAATTCTACCAAAATTCAAAATTCGAAATTCAAAACCGGCCAAAATCCGGCCCAAAATCCGGCCAAAATCCGGCCAACAAAAATTCTACCAAA